CTAGGTCATTTCTGTGTATGGGATCTAAATTGAAATTCTGCAGCTCCGGCTCAGCTTTAAAATTTATTATTAGGAATAACAATGGTGCTTCAACTGCACTTTGGAGTTTCAAAACACTTTATAAACATTAATTAATATCTTAACACATCATCTTTCTCTGGTGCCCATCTGGCAATGCTTCAAAAAATTACAACCAAACTGGAAAATAATTACTATTTTCAATAGAACCAAAGGAACTTAAACGAGGAAGAATGAGCAAGAGAAACAGATGGGGAAAAACAAATTGCTGCAAAACTAAGTCATGAGCAGAGTTCTTACCAGCTTTCGCCCAATGGCCAGAGCTGGGGCATAAGAAGTGGCATAAAACAGCAGATTTGCCTCTTGCAATATTTACTCCACAGCCCTTGGAGACATTCGGGTCTAGAGTTTTGTACTGGTAAGTGACGATCTGGGGCCACCAAAGTGTGTCCCAGAACTGCCTGCTGTCCTCTAGAACAGCAAAGCACAGGACCAAGGGAGGGTCTGCAGCTGTTTATTGCTGGTGAATTCAACAACAACCAATTTATATTCATCTATCAAGGAATATGCAAGTGGAAGCAAATATTATGGTCATGTTCATTTGTTTCTGATTACAAAATGTATGTAAATGTATATGCAAATTAGGTGTACCCATCAGGCTCATGGCAAAGTGCCAAATTAGCCCTTAGTGTTACAAAGTTTGGGGTGGCTGGCAGGGAGATACGGTGATTGCAAGTGAGGCTAGGCAGTCCGTTTAGATGCAGCCAAAACTGGGCTGCTCCAAAGGGGCAGGTGGAGGATAAATCCTGCAGTAACCTGTCGCTTTAAACGAAGCTGAGGGGCTATAGAAAAATCTGTTCCCGCTGCAGTTAAAAGTGTGATAATTACAGAGCAACGGGCTCCTCTGTCATTCAGCAGGCAGCATCCCCAGGAAATCTTGCTCTGTAATCAAGGGAAGAGGTGCAATCAGGCCCCTATTCAGGCTTCGTTTAGAAACAGCCCCTGCAGGCAATACAAAGGCTTCAGCATGGTGCTTTGTGAAGCCGGTGATGACATCAACGTCTTGGTTCTGCAACTACAAGCAGACGTAATGTCATTTCGAAGCACATCTTCTGTTCACCTTCCCTCACAAAGTCCAGAAGGGGCCTAGGGAGAGGGGTGAGGTCTTGGGCCAAAATACTCTTGTACATACAATGTTGCACTCACACTGTCCACATTAGTGAACCCACTCTCTACACCACGACGTTGGAGGAAAAGAGAATTTATTGCAGGCTAAGGAAGACAGCGTGATCCTGAATGAGCAGATATGAACATGCTCATCTGGCTGCTACAGCAGCACTGTTTGCAAAATTTGTGTGGGGAAGGTTTTGGGTTGGGTTTTTTCCAGTGACATGAATGTATCTGTGCTGCTCAAATTCTAGAGGAATCTTATTCTCTTGGCAGCAGCCTGATCCCACAGAGACTGATGAGGTGTATTAGAGGGGAAGGTGTGGCTGACTTCAGCTTTCTGGTCTAATGCCACCATTGCCCAGAAACATACAAATTAATTGCTACTCAAATCAGCCATCCTTTGTACCCTACAGAGCTGTCAGATTCAATGAACCGGTTTACTCCAACTGCAATAAAAAATAGTATCACATTTTATTCAAAACAGCCAAACCTTCCAAATTGTGCACACATTTGCACTCCCGCTGTATACACTCAGCCACAGAAATCGTACTTCTCGTTGACCAGCAATGACCAGCTCAGCTACCCGTCTGGGCATGTAGCTACTATGACATACACAATCCTGGTAACTCTGGGTCCATGGTAAGTGCCAAAAATCTTTCTGCACATCAGGGCACATCTGGGACAAGATTTACAGTTTTCTGTCAGGATGGAATGGTTGTTCTCTGCTGAGGTTCACCATAACTGGAACTGCACTTTGCGTTACAGTAACCCCTAGTACTGTAAATAGAGCTTCATTCCGTCACAGTACAGGCTCAGCACTCTATTTATTTCTTATTTCTCTGGCCACAGAATAACTGAGTTTGCTGTGGTTTTACCATCTGCAGACATAGGCATCAGTCAATAGCCAAGTAACGGCCTGGACACTGTCAAGAGAACTCATTATTAAAAGAGTACATATTGCATTTAGCTGTTCAAACAGAAGTTGTTATTGATTGGATCCCATCAGTTCCCAGTAAAAGAGTCAACTCCGGTGACGAAATGAAAATACGCACACAGACTACGGACTAGTAAATACTGTAATGGAGTTAAGGATTCCCCCCAAAAGGGAGTTGTTGATATCCAGTTGAAAGAGCATGTCTTTTTCAAAAATGAGACTGGGAATAAAATAACCATGTTATTTCTGCAAATATCCAGAGGCAGGTTACAAAACAAAAGGGAACAGTTCTGACAACAAACATTTCAATCTCTTGGGAAAAAAGCAAACAAAGAAAATACAAGTTGGTTAATGGCCAATGAAGCCACAGGCAGGAAGAGCCTGACAGTCCCGCTGTTCCTACCACATCCTACTGTTCATCAGTGGAGGTTCTGCCACACTCACAGAACTGAAAGAGAGCATCTTTGGAGTTTGCTAAGTTTTTCAAAGTCAGATAAAAAGGTAGCTGTACCTAACTTGGTTCCTGTTTTGTTTCCTCGCCACTTTTCTTTGTCTGCTTGTTTCCACTTACTAAACAGCTTTTCTTCTGGTTTTCCCCTTCTTCTCACAATCTGCACAGACACTGTAACATTTTTGGGTGACAGCATTTAACACACAGAAATCACCACTGCTGCAGCATAAAGGAGGCAGAAAACAAGGCTGATTATAAAATTCTGACATAAACCAAATATCCACCATGAAGTAATACAAGAGAAAACTGAAGAATCAGACAAGGTAATGACTGTTTGTGGAAATCTCTACAATTGTTTCATTGGAAAAGCTCTCTGCACAGCATCTTATGTGTGAGTGAAGAGACAACAGCTAACAGTGAGTTAAAAATGTTTATTAAAAAAGGTACATCGTGACAAACTTCTTTGCTCACCCTTAATAGAAGGTTGGGCTGGAAACTGATGAATCACTATAGGAAACAAACAGCAATGGTGACGCATGGCTTCAAAAGGTAACAATAGCACTGCTTGATCCGTGATGTCTACAACAGAAATATCCCTGGCTTCATTAGAAGATGTATTTCATATTGCTCCACCCACCCAGAAAATGCAGAAATTCCACCACCTGAGCCCTGATTAGAGCTCTCACGATTGCCCCACAGGTACATGGAAGCCCTGATTAGAGCTCTCACGATTGCCCCATGTACATGGGGCCTCGTGCACTTACAGTAGTTTCTCAAGATGTTCACTGAAAACCATATGCTGTTGAAGTCTTGAGCAGCAACCCGTGGAGCCTGGATCCATTAGCCCAGCAGTAGAAAGAGGCTTATATCTTTATGTTTCAGGGTCCACATGCCTGTGTGGCTCTTGCAATCTTCCATCACCCACAACTGGCATTTAGACATGAGGTGTATTTATTCTGTAAGTGTATGAGGATTGGGCCCAGCAGCCCAGCTACTGAAGTGCTTGGTCACACCCAGCAGTCTCTCCAGCTTCACATAATTCATAGTTCAAGCACAGAAAATAGTTCTGGCTCATTATTGGTTTGGACCTGATCAGTGCGGAGCAAATAGCCAGGAAGAATTCTGGTGTTCAGTACTTCACAGGCTCACACCTCCTATCTAATGGTCATGTACTGTTACCATGATATTTGGATATAAAGCCAAATTTTCTGTTATCATTAATAGCACCTTAAAATGAGTGCACATATGGATGTCATGTTTATTTTCCAAACCTTCCCTTCCTAGAAAAACATATTTGCTTCTCCATCTATACTGTAAATGTAGAGCTGTATTTACACAGTATTTCTGCAGGGCTTTTTGCTTACATATCAACAGTATAGGGACTTTATTTTCAGCACTTCTCACATTCTACATACTAAATTCCAGTTAATCTATTTTCATTGCCAAAAGAAGTAAACAAGTGCTAGTTGTGATAAGATATTATTGCAAGTATTTCCATTCTGACAAAATTTCAGGTTTTTTTTTTCCTTGACATTGGACACTTTTTGCACAGGTTTCATCTTTAGCTTAAGCTCAGACTGTTGTGTTAAACCCAAATGTCATAAAAAATGCTGTGATGAGATTCTCAAATTCACACTGGGATTTCCAGTTGACTTACTTAAGTCTCTTGCACATACAGAGTTAATTACCATCACACTGCTAAAGACCAAGGAAAAAACCCTGAAATACGCTTCATCATGTGGTTTGCATGACTTAAAACTTCTGGACTCAAATTTTTAAAGAGGGTATGAAACAATGTAGAAACACTCAAATCCCTCTTCCCTTTGCAGTACTAAGTAAGATCGTTCAGCAGGTCCCAAAACAATTTAATCGAGTATGCTAAAAGAATCAAGGTGCCATTCAGCAGCTAGTATGCAAGCAATTGAGGGGGAGCATGGGGCTTCCACAGGCTAGCAACAGCTAATGTCAAAGATGGCCTAACTTTTGCAATGTCCTGTCTATCACTTATATTAGCCATACATACATGGCTCCTGTTTACCTACACTTCACTCAGTTTTCAGGGACACAGGGTAGTGGAATTCACCCAGATAGCTAAGATAACTTCTTAGCGCTTCTTCACCAACACCAACATAGGGTACTTCTGTATTTACCAGTTTATGTATGTTCTCTACCCGTATTAATAATTTGCTGATGAAAACCTGCCCATGCTACAAATGCAGCATCCCTTCAGAAAGGCACTTTTTGCAACTGCTCATGCTCTCTATCTACTCCCATTTCATTACTTCCAGCTGGAAAAAGAATGGTGGAACTTTAATTCCTCTGATAGCCACCGGCAGGGACAAGAGCTCAGTCGTAGCCCTGTTAAGCGACAAATTAACTCTTTGGATTATGTAAAGATCAATGGGAAGCAGGGAAGTATTCTCTTACCTTCAGAACACAGCTTGCCAGCATATCCAGTGGCTGAGCAGTCACAGTGTGGCTCGCCATCTAGAAGGAAGCAAGTGCCACCATTTTCACAGGGATTTTCTGCACAAAGCCCTTCCATTTCCAGCCGGACCCCTTGACTGCCCAGGAGCTGCGGCTCAGAGTTGCCGTATTTCAGATCCAGGATAAATCCTTGAAACGGAGGCTCACCCAGAACACCATCAAGGGTCAAGGCAGCAGGACGGATGTCCAATGGGACTCCACCAACAAAAAGGTCACTGATGATATTCATATACTGGCGTTGTGGACGCACCTCGCCTGGCTTGGCTTCACCGTCCAGCACTAGCACCGTCCGAAGGTGATTGCGGCTGACCATCAGGAAGTGCCAGTTGCTGTCGTTGACCTGCTTGTCTGTGATAACTGTAGTCTCCGCACAGTCCACACTGAACTGGAGCTGGATGCGCCCATCAACAAGGGACAGACAGAGGAAGTCACAGACACCACCATCATCAAAGTAGAGGAGCAGCCCAGCAGAGACGTTGGTCTTGAACTGGAAGCTGAGTTCGCTCCTAGTGCTGGCATCCCAGCGGAGGTAGCGGGCCCACTGGTTGGGGATGCCCATGAACTCCAGACCCAAACAGAGACCCAGCAAGGAGCCCAGCAGCAAACTCACCTTCAAGGTGAAGTAGACGGAGTGCAGAGTGAAGCCCATTGTTTCAAGAATCTGCTCTTCCCTAGGAGAAAAACAAAAGCCACACTATTGGGAGGAGATGCCCAGCAGTCAACACCAAATGTTAAATCCAACAGGAAGAGGAGGAGAGCACAGAGAGTGACAGAAAGAGAGAGAGTAAGTGGAAAGTAAGATAGCAAGTGCACGTGACCAAGGGGAAATGTCTCCTCCCCAAGGAAAGATCTCAATTATCCTTCAGGATCCAGAGGCTTTTATCTCAGAAGTACAGAGTACATGAAGTGACTTCTCCAGATGGTGTACTTTTGTGAAGGGCAAAATAACCCACAGCAATTTGTTTTGGTAGAACACAAAGGTGACACTGGTTGTTCCAGGGAGGAAGGAAAGGCAGAGCTGAAGCCCAAGCCTCAAATTCTGGTTTCCTAGAAGTGACAACAATATTGACGGAGGTGGCAGTGAGATGGAGGAGAGAGTGAATTCATAAAGCACGTGATCCTCGAGAGGGCAAAAATAAAGTCAATCTTCATGATGCACTGGTGGCTACCCAGCCCATAATTCACTGCTTGGCACTCACGGAGCTTGCAGGACCTGTGGCATCAAGAGAAGAAAGGAAAGGAAAAAGTTAGTCCTACTACTCACCCTATCTTTACCATGAAGCTTATTAACATCTTGTCCAGTAACTCATTTATATTTCTTGATACTCTGGCCACTTCTTCATGCCTGCAGTTGGCTATACAGTCCTCCAAAGCAGCAAGGACACCTATGTCCTCAAAATTAAGAGGACCAAATAGAGAACTCACCAAGTGAACCACAACGCTGAGCAACGTAAAAATACACCAAATTATTTCACTCCTTTGATGGATGCAATCTCATCGACTTTACTGAGAGAAATGGTGCTGAAGCTTCCCCAGTAACAATTACCTCTCAATGAAAATGCTTAGGGCAAAGACCAGAGTTCCTTAGAGTTTAAAAGTTGATACAGGGCAAGAGAAGACGTTATCCAAACTTCCCATTCCACTGTTTTCATTATGCTTCCTAGCACACCAAGCAAGCATTAGAGAAGACAACCCTGCTGTCAGCCTGTCATGCAATAGCTGCTTTTACTTTACATGTCTTGCACACTTCAGAGACTCTAACAGGGACCTTTGCAACCTGGAAACATGTGCTATGCAAATTATATATGGCAACCTGCAGCTTAGATGATAGGAAGCTTGTAGCTTAGATGGTAAGAACTGTCTAAGGACTTAACCACTTACCCTGGTCTAGTGGTTTGGGAAAAAGGCCAAATTCACCCCTAGCTAACAGCGAGCAATTCCAACTGCCTTCAGTGAGCAGGAGTTACACCTGTTAACACTGGGATTTAATTCACTTCTGCCTATTTGCATGTGGGTGACTGTATGCCTGGGGTAGGAGGATGTTTTAAGATGACAAGTAAAGACAGCACAAAGCAAGACTCATTCTTTGAAAATCGTGCTTTGAAAGAAAGTAAGTTTTCCATTAACACAGGTGCTTGTTCACAGAGATGGGTTGGGCACGAGAACAGCTCTGGGAATGGCTAACATTAGCACAGATACAATGCAGGAAAGGAGGTGATGAGAATCAAGGCCTTCACAAATCGGATCACAAATATTGTGAGACAGTCTTTGCTTGTGAAAAGTGTTTTGTGCTGTGGACAATGAGAGTTGCTGGGGCTGCTGTTGCTCCCAGCAGATGCCTTTCAACCCCACCGCCCACCTCGCTCCAAAGGAGGAGGCCCACAGACGCTGCAGAAATGGGCAGTGCAGGAAAGTTTCTGTTCTGTAAGGGCAGATGTTGAGCTGGAGGAGAATCACTAGGCAATGGAGGGGAGAGCTCACACAGTCACAGCCTCTGCCCTACTCGCCCCAGGGACCTGCAGAAGCCGTTAAGTCTCCACAGCTGTCAGTTTGGCAAATTTAGCCAGCATGAAAAACAAGTCACTTACTTAGACAACAAAAAGGATCAATTAAAAGAAAACCCGCAAGTTGGAGAGAAATGTGAGCTTTCAGTGCCCAGTGGAAACCAGGCCTGTTCCCTGCAGCTGCCTGAGTGGAATGTGTTAGCTAAACTGCTATAAACACAAATAAAATCAAGTCAAAACCAGAGGTAAGATAATTCCTTTTAATTGTTAACAGCTTGGCTCAGGAGAATGGAAGGAGAAAAAAAGGAGGTGTCAGAAGAGGTGTAAAATGAAAAAAACCACAGATCCAAATGCTCAAATCATCTGTCTTCCCAATAATTATGATGTTGGCTCAGTTCATGGGGTTTTGGGGGGGCTTTGAAAATCAGCTAGGAAAAAAAATACGTGGCTCTTGTCCATTTACCTTTCTCCTCTGTGCTCCCTAGTGGCTCCACTAAAATAGCCCGTGATTTATGGAGAAGGAGAATAGAGTGAGGGGGAGGTAAGAGAGAAAGTGATGACCCGAGCCTGGAATTATTGATGAGATGGGAATAGGAATATAATAATGTGTGTAAATTAGCCAGTGATGTGCTTCCAGCAGCTCACAGTTCCCTGGAACGTTTACCACCACCATAGCAAAATTCACTGCTCCATCAGACAGCTCTGCTCAGCCTGAGCTGGGGAGGGAGGCAAGCCCAGCGTGGCACCAACCACCCACAGAGACCCCAATGCAGAGGGGCTCTCGCCACAGCTTTTGATTCTCCTGGGCAGGGTGGGTTGCATCATCTGCATCAGAAGTAGCCCTCAGCCTTACTACTCTTCTTTCCCTGTTTTAGAAAACTAATTCTTTGAGAACCAGTGAAAGATGCTGTAAAACACAGCAGCAGGTGTGAACACTCTATAGATAACCACAGATGAGATGCATATGTCCACGTACAGCCCAAACACCTGTCCGAAAAGCCTACCAATCTCTCCCAACCCCAGGCTGCTGAAACCCTGTTTTACACACACAGAGAAATCTCAGTCTCCATGGGTCGCTTCAATCCTTGGGATATTTCAAAGGCACAGTAAAGGGAGCAGGCTACCTCTGTGGTACAGATTTCTGTAACACTGATACATGTTCATTAGGAGAGGACAAAGGCCACAGTTAACAAGGGAAACCAGGCAGAAATGGTTAAACAGGAATAGCATTGTTGACTGAGGGAAGCCAAGGCAATCCCTCTCTATCTGTTTTGACTGAGAGAAGCCAAGGTAATCCCTTTCTAGCTGTTTTGAAAGAAGACAATGCCAGTTCTGTTTCAGAAGAGGAAGAAGACACAAAAAACATGAAATATAGGTGTCACTTCTGGGTGCTTCATTGCCTTTTAGACACTGCAGCTCAGGTTTTGGGAAGGCTGCCCACACCCAGCCACTAGCAGGCTAGGGCCATCTGAAGCTCCTCCAGAGCTCTGTCAGCACCCATCAGTCCTGACCCATGGCGCTTCCCACTACTCCAGTTTTGTGTCTCACACAGTTCAGCCTGTGAGAGCAAACCTCACCGCACAGTAGCAGGGTCTTCAAGAAAAACTCAGAAGACCCAGTGTCCTTTTTAGCAGTGGCCAGGATCTGAATCCCAACCTTGAGAGAGTAAATCCTGACACAACAAATCTGTGCCTCACCCATTTCCCACAATGATCCTCCAAGACACACTGAGAACAAATAATTTTCTGCTCCTACCATTTTATTTTTAGCATAAGTACTACCCTAGCAGCCTCATACAGCATATTGCTACCATAGCAATACATTACAGTTTGGGACAATAACTATAGAATCCCATAGTATTTTCTTATCTATTTTATCTCTGAGAAATCTCAAACTTTGTCACAGCATCATCACATCTGACAAAAAAAGACTTCATGATGGACACCACCTCTCCCAGTCACGAATCAGCAACACCCCTGTTCCAATTCCACCTATTACTCACATGGAAAAGCAACATAACAAATATTTTCCATGTTATATTTTTGGCTTAATGTGATTTAGCAGCACGAAACAAGACAACCAGTCTGATGTGATCAGCCCTTCAACAAACCACTAGGCAAGGTCTTTGCACAGCATTTTAAATCCTTGCTACCCTGAATGAATGAGAGACCCAGCAAGTTGTCTCCACTGCACCTCCAGCAGCCTGTACCGCCTCCCTGGCCCACCGGAGAGCTGAGACAGCGAGGAACCTGCACGCTGAACAGACGGCTCAGCATCTCGCACACGCAAAACCTGCTGTAGGAAACACACCCACTTGCACTATTGAAACGTCCCACTCACAGGGCTGACAGAGCTGCACAACTTCCCAAGCCGGGGAAGGGAGGCAGCCCCGCCGCAGTGCCGTGGGCAAGTGCTACCCAACCACCACACACCTTCCCAAACTTGAGAGCAGCCTATTAATGCCAGGTCAGAGCCATCTGCTCAGCAGCCCGCGGAGAGGGTCTTGCCATTGCTTTGGAGTGGCTCTCAACTGCTTATCAGCTGTATGCGGAGAGTGAGTGACATTATCTAACTGCCAACTAATTTCCATAATTACTGACTGGCACACTCTGTATGCGGGGTTAATATCTTTGCAAATGTCTCGCAATGCACCTGCTTAGGAAGAGGGTGAGAAGCTGGGCACAGTGCTGCTCCGCAGCTTATTTACCCAACTGCACAGAAAGGTTGCAGGAGACGGGTTTGTCAGTCCCTGCCCTCCCTCCTCCACTACCTCCCGCTCTGGCTGCTAATTGTGTGGGGATGAACTTTTTTGTATTTGAAAGTGTAATTTTCAGTAATTCCTAGCACAGAAAGAATAACAGATTTAGATGAAGCCGAGGACAGGCTGGCTTTCCTCGCAAACCCCTGCCACTGCAACCCAGTGCAAGTCTGTGTAAGACCTGTTATTCCACTTAAGGATGCTGAACAAAATCCCACTGACACACTGATGGGAGGGGTTTACAGTCCCCCCAGTCTGCCACCCCCTTCCACAACCAAAACTATTCATTATGCCGTACTTCGTGTGGAGGGAAAAACATGCATTGGTCACCTTGGATCCATGTATTTATACCCCATGTGAACTCACCCTTGTTCTTGCCTTCACTGT